AAGCTTTATTTGAAATTAGATCGTGTTTGAGCTTGTCTTGTTCTTTGAGCCTGAAGTCGTACATCATGTTTATAATGTTAAATTAAAAATTTAATGAAACAAATTTTATTATCAATGTATGTCAGTAAACTTGGAATCAAAACATTGTATATAATTACATTTTTGTATTATCTAAATTGTAATTTGAAAAAGAAATGATAAAAATTCTCAAAAATCATTCTTCTGTGCCATGTGACTTGTCTGAGCTCTGATTTCTCAGTTTCAGAAACCTAGAACTTCAGTAATAAATGTCTGTAGTTTCCAACTAATTAGAAACAGAAAGTATACATACAAGCAAAAATCTGAAATTTAAACCGTATTATGCCTTTTATTTACTTTTGGTGGTAAAAGCCATCAGTCAAGGAGAACTGTGTAATTCCAAAACATACTTACCTTCGACTTAACCAATTTTTAGATCCTCTTCGCATTACTATGGAATATTTTCTTAACCTACAATGGCACTTTGCACCAGGGCTCTGGATGACCATGTTTGATGGTACTAATGCTTATCTCCATATTCCCATAGTGGAATATTCTCGGAGGTTTTTTTAGATTTGTGCACAAGGGTCAGGTGCTACAGATCAGGGCTCTACCTTTTGGTCTTGCATCTGTACCTTATGTCTTCTGCAGATTTGTTCGAGCTTTTTCTCATCATCTGCATTTCTTGGGCCTGTGCACACATCATTATATGGACGACTGGTTCGGTTCCTTCTGGCATCATCCCGTCAATTAGCAGAACAATACTTTCAGATGCTCCTTTCAGAAGCCACAAAAGCAGGTTTCCTTATCAGATTGGAGAAATCTATTCTCTCTCCGATGCAATATCTCGTCCATCTGGGTGTGTTTTTCAATAGTCACTTAAGTCATGCTCAACCAACCCCAATCAGGCTTCAAGCCATAGAAAGAGCCATCCTTCTCCTACTGCATAGATGGTTCTCTCTCTTTTGGGGATGTGGGCATCCCTCGAACCTCTCGTTCCTTTGGGATGAGCACATATGAGGTCCCTTCAGTGGTCACTGCACGACCAATGGATCATCCTGTCTCATTACTCAGGAGCAACATAGTCGATTATGAATGGTGGTTGAATCAGAACAACAGTACTATTGGGGTACCCTTTCCACCACCTTGTCCCAAGATCCATCTGTTCACAGATACATCTCTTCTGGGATGGGAGCTAAGCTTCAAGGTTAGGAGTTCCAGGGTATTTGAACGGAAGACAAGTCTATGTTCCATATCAACATTCTTGAACTCCTTGCAGTACACTGGGCAATGGTTCAAGGCCTGTCTTTCTTGCAGGGTAAAATTGTCATGATACATTCCAACAGATCTCAGATTTCTTGTCAAGAAGGCACACATTCTCGAGACCTTTGTTTCGTACCTTGGATCATCTCTACTGGGCTCATTCCCATTGTATCAGTCTTTTAGCATGTCATGTTCCAGGAGTGATGAATTTAATTCCAGATCACTTGTCTCTACCCAACCGGATTCTTGAGATGGAATGGATGATACGTCATGAGGTTTTTGAGTGGATTTGCTCTCAGTTCGGGTCTCCAATGATTGATGCCTTTGTGACTCATTGGAATTCTCAACTGCAATTGTTTTGGTCTCCGATACCTCATCCTCAAGCATTTGCCATAGATGTGTTCAGTCAAGACTGGACAGGTTTACATCTATATGCTTTTCCCACGATTTGGCTATTGCCCCGAGTTCTGACTATGGTTCCACCATATTGACCAGCTCAGACGTGGTTTCTGCATCTTCAGTATCTGCAGGAATGTCCACCTCTACCTCTTCCACATTGGTAGTCTTTGTTGAGACAACCTTGATTAGACATTCTCCACCCTGATGTTCAAAACTCAATCTTCATGCATGGAAGTTATACACAAGGGTTTAACTTCTAAGGTTTCTCTGTATTTACGTAAATCTTTATGTAGGCCAACAACAGCCGTTTATCAACGAAAATGGAATACATATCATCAGTGGTGTTTCAAAAGGAATTTAAACCCTCTTCATTCTGTAGCATCTACCATATCCCATTTTATGACTTGAGTATTTGAGAGGGGTCTTGCTTTGTCTATGATGGCTTTATATAAGGCATCTTTATCCACTATTTTTCGGTATTCCAAATATTGAAAGGTTTTTGAATCCTCAGTACTATCAGGTCTACTCAAATCTTTTTGTATTCTTTGACCCAAACGACCTTTTCAATTACAGAATTGGGATTTTATAGTTGTTTTACATGCATTGTCTTATCCTTCCTTTGAGACCTTAACTTCGTGTTCTTTGTTTCATATTTCTCTTAAATTGTATTTTGTTGATGGACATCGTCAGTCAGAGTTGTTTGCAATCCATGTGCATTGGAGTCTTTATCATTCCACATTTGTCCTGCTTTACTCCGACAGGTCTTTTCTTCCCAAGACTGGCAGCTTGGGAAGAGGAAAGATCCTTCTCACCAATCCATTTGCCAGCCATTTTTCACCTTTATGACTGCTCAAATCCTGATCATTTGTTATGTGCTGTTAGGGTTCTCGAATGTTATGTGGCTCGTACTAACTAATTTCGTGGTAGTAGGAATCAATTGTTCATTCATTGGAATCCTTCTATTACCCGTGACTTATCTCCCATTACCCTAATGAGGTGGCTTCTTAAATTGATTCACATGGCCTATAATGAATTATTGTTACAGAAGAGGAATATTTTGCGTGTTACATTTCACCAGATTCGTCATATCTCTATGTCACTAGCCGCCCAGTTGAATTGCCCTCTGGAAGACATTGTGTGGGCTGGTTTGTGGACTACTACTAATACTTTACTATATCCTCTTCTGAGGGTTTTCGACTACTCCTTTAGCTATTTTGACCACATCAGTTAGATTTTAACCAGAGGTGGGTATTTTCCTGAATCATGTACTCTTTTATTTCCAAGGTCCCTTTATTTTTCACTGGATCCCACTCTGTGGCGAGTGTTGCCCAGACAGATATGCTTTCTCTTTTCAATTCCACGCTAGCAAACACTTTCACTATAATTACTATGGGGTGTTCCATAAGATCATCTAGGTGCCTACCAGATGGTATTACCTTATTTTTATTGACTGCCATTCATGGACTATCATGAGTAAAGCTAAAAGGGATCCTGCCCGTCCAGGCCAATCATCAGGTTGAATAAATCGGGGTTGGTTTGCTTTTTAAAATGTAGGGAACTTGGTTCACCTATTGCACACTTCCTTAGGACTCCCCAACGAGTATTGCTCCCCCCACGATTCTACTAATGGAACCCGGGAGCCCTTACAACCCCACTGGGGTGGCAGACAGAGGCTTTTCCTCCAAAGTATTCGAATGTGTTCCTCCACTCTTGGAGAAGAGGGTGAATTGGGGGGGGGGGCTTCCTACTCGTAATTCGGGTTCAGATTTGACACAAAGCTATCCAGTTGGGGAGTGAATGTTGGTTTCATATATTGTTCATGGAAGGAGGACCACTATCTCCTTATAATTCTGAACGTGAAGTGGTCTCATCCTAGGTCCTTGGTTGAGCACAGGTTCAACATCCTCTCCATAATTCTAGGGGCAAGCGGAATACTCCTTGCCCAATTGTTTGGGAAGTGAGAATGAATTTTAATAATTCCAGACCAGATGAGTTCTGTTCCTTTGGTTGAGTATAGCATACATGATCCCGTCATTCCGAGCCTGGGGTGTTGTATTTTGGATTTCTTCAGGTGGAGGAGAAAGTTTGTCCATTTTGGTGTTGCTTACTTTCTTATCGTGATTCTGAATGCATCACCCTATGGCTACAGGTTGGAATTCGTTCTATAATCTTTTTATCTAACATTGTAGTCCAATTGCCTTAGCCACCAACGTGGAATGTAGGTACTACGGCTTCTTAATTCCAACCCTGATTTGTGGAACCTTGGATATCTGGTTGGGATTGGCCTATACTGACGATTACTCATATTATATTCCACCTTTGATATAGGAACTGAGTTCCTGGTGAAGAGCATACCTGTTCTAGATGCAGTGCAGTTCTCCCCCTATTGTATCATTTTTATCTTGGTACACTCCTGTTCTATACAGACGCTTTCTATATGGTTCATGCCTGCACCAAGCCCTCCACCTTCTCAATGTTGGATTCTAGCTATAGTGTCAGTGGAGGTAAGTATGTTTTGGAAGTTAACATTTTCCTAAACTGAAAATGTATTTCCAACAATATTTATCTTCGCTGACACTCTCCCACTAATAGCCGGTTTATGTCCCGAAAAAGTGATTACATTATCTGAATGAGGTGCTTATATAGAATACCTAGATAGAGGGCGCATTGAAATTGGTGGAGAATTGTGCAAGTAAGAATTAGCCAAGGGCATTCGAGTGGAGTATAAAAGACTGGAGCAAGCGTTCTCAATGCTTAGATGGGCAAAGAGTGGAAACCCTGGAGATCGAGTCTATCGTATATTTGATGTATATCTACTTCTTCTATTGCTGTCTATCGTATGTTG